AAGACATCAATCTTCATCGTAGGATCACCATATTTCCAGATTTTATTTAGAACCATATGCACCTTAGCCACATGAGGAGCAAGATCTAAGAACTTACCCACCACAAAGTCTTCCCAAAGCGGCGTAGAATTCTGAACCACCTCATTCGGAATCTCCACCATATTAACCCCATCCTGCTTAGAAATCTCCACATCATACTTTCTCAACCGTTTTTTATCCTGCGCCGCTGCAATCCAACTCCGATTAGCCCCTTCCCGGTTACCCTCAGAGTTACTCAGCTTCTCCACCCCCTCAAGATTCACAGTACGAACCATATCTTCATCCACCAGATCGGAAGAATCCGGCGGAAGAGCCAGATTCATCGCGAAATCTCCCCCCGAAGTTTCTCGAAAAATCGCCAAAATAATCGCCAAAATGAAAACAGTGCGTTTTGGTAATCACTATGACCTTTCTCTCTCTGTTTTTTCCTCCCTTATCAAACAACAAATCCTTTCATTATTCTTAGATTTTCAATTTTAATCTCCATTAACTCTTTCATATCTACTTTCTTTTGTCTATACCAATTCAAATTTTTTATTATACATCACCTGGATTATTACTTAAAAGATCATGATCGACACATTTTTTAGATCAAATAATGGAATGCAGTTGTCATTGACCATTTATCAAAGCAACAGTTAGACTGGCAGTCATTTTTCAATTACGTCGGAAAGAGATATTACTGGTACATGGAGAGATTTCGAGAATCTTTGGGATGTTGTTGCAGGTTTTCATGGTAGTGTGTAACGAGTTCATGACTTTTTTTAACACGATGAATTCATAACTTTTTCTGCAAAAATAAAGTAACAATGTAGCATAAGTTTTTGTATTGTTCAATTTAGAAATCATCTTTGCTTACTGCAGACTTGTATAAGAAATAAAAGCTGATTCAAGAAGAACATTTGAGAGATCAGAGAAAATGTTGAACATATATGCTCTACGGTAAACTTCGTGAAGGTAGAAGACGAAAGATTATAAAGGTAATGCAAAACGTTTGATATTAGAAAGTGAAATCTTTATTTACTTTATTGTCTTTAAGAAAGTAGGGTCATTTAACATATTTTTGAGCACCGAGCCATTAAAACCAAAAAATATGACTTTGATCTTTGATGCGGAAAATTATATTTGACCATTTAAATGGGTTAGTCAAAATCATGTGTAGCTCAAAAATAATTTTATAAAATTAATTTTGCAATTTCTGACGTTTTATTGGATAGTTGTAACAATTATCTAAAACAATTAAAATAAAATATATACTATTAAAGCAGGATCCTATTGTTAAAATTTTAGATTCTACCCCTAGATTTTTATCACATTTATAAGATAATACCAATATTTATTTTTAGAATCTTAATTAATTAAACAATTTAATATCTCTTATATTTATGGTAACTGATAATATTTCCTATTTATGTGATTAATAATAATTTTCTTTTTATGAAAATTATGATTTTCTATTTAATTTTAATATCATATTTCCATGCATCATATTATTTAGCGATCAAAAATTATAAATTATTATTTACTGTTTCATTTTATCCATAATAATGATATGTCAATTCAATTTGTTTTAAAAACTAAATTTTAGATATAAAATGAGTAAAAATGTAAACTTATCATAGGTTATTAATAACGAAAAGAAACTAATATTGTTATATGAATAAACTGTGTTTTTTTTCTATTGCCATTGTTTCATTTTTTTCAAATGACAAGAAAGTTTTTATTAAAGAAATTACAAAAAATCAATTTTCTTTAATATTAAAAATATGAATTATTTAACAAATTTTGAAAAATATATTATCAGTTTTTATGGGGTTATTTAACGGATCAACGGATATCATAATACATATTAATAGCGGGTTTTAAGATATATACCGGGTTGGATTAAATTTTTAATTAGTAAATTTTTAATTAAATCTTAACTGGATTATATAAAAATTGCCGGATGTACCGGTTCAACTATGGATCTGGATCGGATATGGAAACATTACGTGAAAATCAAACATTATAATAGAACTTTTTTAAATAATAATAAAACTATTTTAAAATTTTTGTATTTGAATAATTAATTTAAATAAATTTTATCAAAATGGTAAAAATATATCCGTGCTTTTAAAGTGCGGGTCAAAATCTAGTTTTAATTAAATCTTTAAATTGTCCGGAAGCATTAGATAGTAAGTCAAGAAAACGTTTTTTTTAATAAAGCAAACTAAATTAGGAAAAACTAAATCTTAAAAATTCAACAAGCTAGGTTTATTTTGTTTTAGCGTGTGCTTTTCAAAAGGAAAGTTAGGTAATTAACCATGAAATGTCAACAAAATTGCTATTTACATAAATAAATATGTTGTAAGAAAAACATAAATAAAGTAAAAATAGTAAATGTATTTGATTCACTACATTCAATTTTTTTTTAATGTTAGTTATGTATTTTTATTCAGTACAAAATCATGAAAAAATTAATGGATCAAAATAATATTTTGTTTTAGTTGAAATGATGATTAAAAAAAAATTAAAACAGTAAATTGATCGGTGCATAGCACCGGGTAAACACCAGTCTATAATAAAATGGTGACGGTGGTTTGGATGAGACGACGGCATATGTTCATTGCCTTCTCTTTATTATTTTTTAAACTCATTCTTATCCTTTTGTTCTGCAAATTATAGAGGGACTAATGGGTTTAATTTGTTGTAATATATTAAGATCTGGGTTTCAAAAACAAAACTATTTGTACACCTTTGTCAACTTGGGTTTAATGCACTGTCCAACAGAAAAAAAACACACACAAAACTTTTATGACATTATAATATCATTATATATGAAATCAAACCATGAAAATTTAAAGGAAACATACAATTTTATCTATTTATACTATTTCATTACTAAATAAAATTGTAACTATACTTTATCTTTTTCTAAAAAATAATAACAATTGCTTAGGAATAAAGTGTAAAATTAATGTATGAAATGATTATGGCACAAACTTAGAGTTATACTAGGTGTTTTCCTGCACAATATGCAAGAACAAATTTTTTGAAAATTTAAATCACGTTTATCAGTAAATGTTTGTACAGTATTTTAATTTTAAATTAATTATATATAGATTTAAGATGAATTATAATTTTATTTAAATGTAAATTTAGTAATATATATGTAAATATTTGAAACTATAATCTAATAAATATTTATCTATTTCTTTTGGTTGAAATATATTAAATAAATTTTTAAAAATTATTATTTTGATAGGTGTATAATTATCAAAACTTAAAGCTAAATAATATTTTTAAAATTTGTAGATATTTAAAAGAAACTTATAGTAATGGGATTATATTTTTTTATAAAATTTCAAAATTTGTTGAAGTTTTTTTTAGTAATAAAAAATATAAAAATAAATTTAAGAAGAAAATTTTAAAATGTTATTCTATTTTATTTTACTATTATATTATTTATTTTTATATTAATGATGATTTATGAATTATTATCATATTTTAGAAACTTACCAAAAATATAAAATAACAATTAATGTAAATATCCATGTTATAATTAGCATCAAGCCATGTCATATTTGTTGGTATGCCATGTCATTTTTCTCTTTCAAAATCACTTCTCAAATAATAACTAAGAGACATCATCACAAATTCATTACAATTATCAAATTCTCTTACTAATAATTTTTTAAAAAATATGTTTTACACAAATATGATTATAAAAAAGATAAATATGAGTACAAATAAAAAAATAGATGAAAACTAATTTTTCTAAAAAAATGTAAAACAAAAAATATACACGTCTTTTGAAATGAGAGGTCAGAATCTAGTCAGTTATTAAAAGAGTAGAGAAAGTAATCTATTATCAATCTATATGTTTTACTTTAGAACAGAAATTGCTATTTTTATAAAGCAGTATTTATTTATTATAAAATTATTATTTATTATTTTCAACTGTTCTTTTAACTTTAAACTTTAATAATTATAATTTAAACAAAACATTTTGGGAAATAAAGTTTTTTTTTTTTTTAAAATCACATTTTTCTTTACAATAAAAATATTTAGAAAATAAATTAAAATATCAATTTTCAACTTAAATGACAAATAATTTTTATTTTTGCAAACCGCGTGTTAGTGGTCCAGTGGTTAAAACTAAACCTGGGAAATCATGAGTTCGAGCGTTGTTGGGAGGTAATTATATTGACAGGCTTGTTGCAAAAGTAATTCAAAACTTCAAGTCAAACACAAAACTAACGTTTTTTTGGACATTTCATTTTCTCAATCCACCCTAGAAGTTTTGATTATTTATGAAAATGCCATTATTTTTATTTAATATTTGTTTTTGAAAATGAGTATTTTTACTCTCATATCCTCATCTTCATCAATTAATCATGAAAATGCCACTACCATCAATTCACCCAACAACCATGAACAACCAAAATGAAGCTCTTAATGCATCTTAAAAACATAATTTACTCATTCATTTTCATAACTTATGCCCAAAAACTACATCTCTTTCACTTTCTAGCTATATTGATGCAAAAAATCTAAGCTTTTTGATTCTAAAGTTTATGGGGGTCATATCGCCATCCAAACTCACGATTTATGGTCCTTAACGATTGAGTAGATGTTCTGGTGAAATTGTGTGTGCTTGGAGAATTAAGCAAGTTCTCTCAGGGGTTGAAGGTATGAATTGATTTTTTTTCCCTAAATTTGTCTCTAGAAGACATACGAGTAAGTCTTCGTAAGTCTTTTAAAGCCTTTGTAAGTCTTCGTAAGTCTTCTTTAGTCTTCGTAAGTCTTCTGGTCAAAGAATAGGTTTGTTTTGCAATTGACTTTCTTTTGAACTGAAAGTTGAAGATTAAATTGTCGTGTTTGTAAGTCGAAAATGTTTTGATTAAATTTGAAAGTTTATGATTATTTTGTCCATTTTCCAGTTACACATGTATAAACATTTTTTTGTAGAAGATAAAAAGTTATGAGTAAAGCTGAATTAGCTCATCACTTACTACAGATGGAGTGAGAACACCAAGATCAGTAAAGAGCAGAGTAAGGAAATGAGGAGGAGTGTAGTCTCTCGCAGATCTTTCTACCTCAACCTTAGGAGGAACAGAAACACCAAAATTAACAGGTCGCAAGGCCGGCTCTATGTCCTTTTGATCCAGCGGGTAAAGCCGTGCAAACTGCAAGAAAAACAATATATTAGACGATGAGTCACAGTGTTTCTGCAAAAGCTTTGAGTGTTTTACCTTGTAGCTATCTGCAGCTACATAGACTTCTCCTCAGTGTAGCAAAAGAACAACAAAATACTTTCTATGTGTTTTTTAGAGAAGACTGTCATGGAAGTTTACCAATTTTCTTTGTTGGCAAAAGAAAAATTGAGAAGACTCAGATAAACATGTTAGTTTTGCAATTGACCAATCTGTGTCAGAAATTTAACTTTCCACAGAAGACTTCCAAGTAAGTATTCCACTGGAAGACTTCGGAAAACTTACCTGGAAGTTTTCTCAACCTTTAAATTAAGTTTACTCGATATCGCTGGAAGTCTGCGTAGGTTACTTTTGCAATTAAATATTTACACTTATAACATTTAATTTAAATTGGGAGACTTACCTGAAAGTCTTCCAAATTTGTATTCCGTGATTCTGGTCAAACTTAAGGTAATCAAAGAAGCGAAAGAATTCTAAGTAAGTCTTCTGAAGTCTTCCGGCGTATCAAGTAGACTTGATTTAAAGGTTGAGAAGACTTCCAGGTAAGTCTTCCGAAGTCTTCTGGCGGAAGACTTACCCGAAAGTCTTCCGTAGAAATTTAAATTTCTAGCACAAATTGGTCAATTGCAAAACTAACATGTTTATCCGAAAAGACTTCCAGGTAAGTCTTCTCAGGAATTTTCGAGATTTTTTTATTATAAAAGTAAGCCAATATTTACATAGGAAGACTTCCAGAGAAGTCTCCTATAGAGGATACTTCTCTAAAAGTCTTGCTTTGCAAATTTTCAATTGCAAAAATGACCTAAACAGAAGACTTACCTAGAAGTCTTCTATGAAAATGTACAATAAACTTTCATTTTCTTCAAATTTAAAACAAATTCTTAAGATTTTATTGTTAATTCATGTGTTTTAGATAATATTTGGGGTCCTGAATGAAATTCATCACTTAGTTAGTGATAACTATGAGGTTACCAACATTCATATTTTTTAATCTTTCGAGCTCATGATAGAAGACTTCCACAGAAGTCTTCCACATTAGTTTTTGTAAACTTGTATTTTTAAGAATGTTCAGTAATTTAAAATAAGTTTTTTAACTTTCAAAAGTGTTAAATAATTTCAAGAAGTATATAATGTATACATGAAAATGAAGTTGGAAGAGTTAACCAACTCATTATATCATACTTGTTTATAATTATAAAATTTATTGGTTTTACTTCATACAAGACTTTGTTGGTTTTACTTTTTAAAAGTTTAAAGTGACGAACAACTATTGTAAGTTAAAGAGAAAAGTTGTTTATAATTAAAAATTTATATTTTTTTGCAGAGTATGAGAGATCCAAAGATGAAAGAACTACACAATGAACATCATGTTTTGAATCTGAAGGCCAATGAAGTTTTTAAATTTCCTTGATTTGTAAAAGTGGAAAACACATTGTTAGCACATATCTTACATTTTGTTTACTTTAATAATGTGAAGTAATTTTGGATAATAAACATATTTACCATATTTTTATTAATATATTTTTCAAATTTACAAAAAAAAAAAACCACAACTAAAGAGTTAACATACAAATCACAAAAACATACCACAAATAAAAATTTATAGATCATTCCTCCACAAAAAAAATCTTCGACTCCACTTGATATGAAAGACGATTTGTTAGAAGATTTCAAAGAAGACTTAAGACAGAAGACTTAAGAGTTAATTAAGATTACATCAAAAGACTTAAGACTACGTCAGAAGACTTAAGACTACGCCAAAAGACTTAAGACGGCATCATAAGACTTCTAGGAAAGTCTTCTGAAAGTCTTCTATAAGTCTTCCGATATCTGTCTTAGATCTAGAAAAAACTGCATATCCAAAAGCGTTAAAATGACATCAAAACAGAGAAAAAATTCAAAAAATAATTGTTTTAAGCTTAATAATATATAAAATAATCACATTATGTTGATTCTATAACTTATTAGAATCTAACATATAAAAACACAAAAATACATTAAAAAAATTATAGATCTACCCTTAAATGAGTGAAAGATGACAACTATGTCATGAAAAACATGCAAAAACATAATAAAATAATGAGAAACACATAAAATGAGAAATTGATATTTTTTGGTGTTTTCATGTTTAAAGAGATTAAAAGAGGTTGGAGAATTTTAGTTTGGAAAAAGATAAGAACTTTATGCAACAATAGAATACTAAATGAAAAAAATCAGACATGAAAACTTACAAAACACTCAGATCTATTGTGAAACAAGAGAAATTGAAGAAGACGATGCCAGAAGACTTAAGACAAAGTCAGAAGACTTAAGAAGACGCCAGAAGACTTTCAGGCAAGTCTTCTGTAATTTTTCCAATGTCTGTCTCAGATCTGGAAAAATCTGCATATCCAAAAACGTTCAAATGACATCAAAACATTAAAAAAAAAACTCAAAACAATGTTTTAAGCTTAAATAATAACTAAAACAATCACATATGTTGAATCTATAACTTATTATAATCTAATATATAAAAGACACAAAAATACATATCAAAAATTTGTAGATCTACCTTTAAATGAGTGAAAGATGACATCTATGTAATGAATAACCTGCAAAAACAAGATAAAATAGTGAGAAACACATACAAATGAGAAATTAATATAATATTTGGTGTTATCAAATTCAAATAGTTTAGAGAATTTTAGAGAGAAATATTACATTTTTGTTGCCTTCATTTGAGAGGAAGAAAGAGAATGCGTAAATTTTTATTTATATAGGAAGATAAAAATTTCAATTAGGTTAAATATTTTCAATACAAAAGACTTTAGAATACCTTAGAAGAATCACCCATAAGACTTACATTGAAGACTTACGATTCGCCCAGAAGATTTACTATTTGAGCGGAAAATAGTAAACTATGGAAGACTTAAGAAGACTTTGGATAACCTACAGAAAGACCTTAAGTAGGTTTTCCGAGGTCTTTGAATGTCTTCCAAAGTTTTGACTCTAAAAGACTTACTGGAAAACTTTAAATATATCTTCTGAGGTTTTTGAAGGTCTTCCAGTAGGTCTTTCAAAGTATTCTTAAGTCTTCTACATTATCATGACTATCTAACTTACAAACGTCTATAATTAGATGATTATGATTTTATCCATATCAAAATATTTTTTATGAAATTTATAAATTATTTTAAGAACTAATACACTAGAAAACTTTTCCTGGAAGACTTTAGAAGACTTTCTCTAGAAGACTTTAGAAGACATTGGAAAACTTAATTTTAAGCGGGAAAACTATTTTTTTTTTTAGAATTTTAAGCTGGAAACCTAAATTTTGAGCGGGAAACTGTTATTAAGTCTTCATAAGTCTTCCAAAACCCCCAAAATCAATTGTATATAACTAAATCACATACAAATGCTTTATATAACTTAAATTAAACTTATGAAATGTTTAATCTATACAAAACTAAACACATATAGCTAAAATCCATTTTTAAAAAATAAAATGTTAAGATTGCACAATCTAACCTTAAAAACACATACAATACTACAACATAGTTACCAAACCCTAAACCAAAGAATATCATGGTTTGTTACATTCACTCATCTATGTTAAAAAAAATTAATTTTATTAAGTCTAAATTTATATCACTTACAAATGTCTATAATTAGATGATTATGATTTTTCCCCTATCAAAATATTTTTTATGAAATTTATAAATTATTTTAAGAACTAATACACTAGAAGACTTTTCGTAGAAGACTTTAGAAGACATTAAAAGTCTTAATTTTAAACGGCAAACCTAAATTTTTTAAAAAATCTTAATATCACCTCTCGTGAAAGACTTTTCGAGAGGTGATATCATCCGAAAAGACTTTAAAAAAATCTTAATATCCGTGGAAGACTTTTCGTGGAAGACTTTAGAAGACATTAAAAGTTTTAATATACTAATACAAATATGTTATTAGTATATTATCAGTTAAATAAAAACATACTTTCAATAAATTTCCTAAAGTATTTTCTAAATGAAAAATAACATTGAAATGAATCATGACTTCTACTTTAATATACAAAATATTTTACTTTTGTATTTGAGATCGAAATGAATATGTGTTTCTAGAATAGATGTTTCTACATGATTCTGTAAATAAAAATAACATATGAAATAAATCATGATTTCTATTTTAATACATAAAATATTTTTATTTTTTATATCTGAGATATAAATGAATATTTATTTTTAACATAGTCTATTTAAAATCTTTGTAAAATATTTGAGGACTTCAAAATCATATACATACCAAGGGTGGAGAAACCATCACACACTTTGGTGAAGACTGTATGAACTTTTTTGAAATATTTTAAGTTTTTTAGTTACGCTAATCTGGTTTGAATTCCAGACCACCTATAAGTTGAGTAATTTTACATCCTTTGATGTGAAAAAAATCCTTAAAATATATATATATTTTTCGAAACTTAGTCAATTTAAATTGTTATTATCATTAAAATATAATTAAAAATATTTTAATCTTAATTTATAAATCAAACAAATTAATATTAAAATATATTGATACTTTATGATAGTTAGAATTTAAATTAAATAATTTTGGAAATAAATTTTTAAAAGATATCAAGAAGATTTTGTTTAGTTTTTATTTTGAAAAACAGTCATTTGTATTTTAAATAAAAAGATAAAGGTACTAGAAGATATTATAATTACATTATGTAAAATTTGATAAAATTATCTAAAGAAGGGTATTAATGAAATGAAATATCACACCTGAAAAAAGAAAAAATCACACATGGAATAAGTTATGGTTTTTTTAAGATTTTTAAATTATAATAAAAAAATTTAATATTTTTGTTAACCAAACTATTTCAGTCTTATCAAAAGTAAATCATTAAAATAATTTACAGAACATCAACTTTTGAAAAAAAAAATTGAAATGGTTTAATCAATAAAAATATGAAATTGATTTCTTTTGAACTGAAAGTTGAAGATTAAATTGTCGTGTTTGTAAGTCGAAAATGTTTTAATTAAATTTGAAAGTTTATGATTATTTTGTCCATTTTCCAGTTACACATGTATAAACATTTTTTTGTAGAAGATAAAAAGTATTTGAGTAAAGCTGAATTAGCTCATCACTTACTACAGATGGAGTGAGAACACCAAGATCAGTAAAGAGCAGAGTAAGGAACTGAGGAGGAGTGTAGTCTCTCGCAGATCTTTCTACCTCAACCTTAGGAGGAACAGAAACACCAAAATTAACAGGTCGCAAGGCCGGCTCTATGTCCTTTTGATCCAGCGGGTAAAGCCGTGCAAACTGCAAGAAAAACAATATATTAGACGATGAGTCACAGTGTTTCTGCAAAAGCTTTGAGACTGGTTTGTTCATACTGTGTGCGACGATCGCTATTTGGTAAGTACCCATCATGTTAATTACACCGCCACTTTCAACCACTCCGTCGGCTCCAACAAACACCATCTCTACTTCATCCATGCAATAGGCCACAGCTGAATCAATTAGAAGCTTCACTGGAACATCTAGCTTAGCAAGCTCCTTAGCTAACAGTACACCTGTTTTATCTGGCCTTCCCTCTGCACAAAACCCAATGAGATGATCAGAAAATGACAGACGGGAACAGTCTTAAAGTTTTAAAGAAAAAGGCACCTGTGCACAACACTCGAAAGAGTTTGTTTTGAGCTGCTGTCTTTAGTACCTCGAATACAACTCTAGAGAAACCATGAACCAGTATGGTACACCCATCAAATATGAAATCTTGACTAAGCATTGCAATGATCTTTCGAGCCTAGAGAAGAAAAAAAAAAGGCATTACCATTCCAATGGTCCAATACATGTATCTTTCTACACAAATCATCTAATAAAACCACTGACCTTGTTAGATATTTCTCCAAATTTTTCAGCACGTCCAAGGACGCGAGATTTTGCTGATTTGAAATCCTCAAATTCTAATGCAGATGTTCGAGTCACGTACCGCATGAATAGATCACATCCTGCTGTTAAGGATATGGAAGTTGTGTCCCATGCCTGAAAAGTGAAGATAGTCATACAAACCTTGTACCATGAAAATAACTTAAAAGCTGACAAGGTCTCATACAGTCTCAGTGCAATGCAACGCTCGCATCTTATATTTTGACACAAGCTAGACCTATGTTAAAACTAAAAACATACTGTAACCTAACATGTTAACGACTAAAGGGAAGACTCAATAAGCAGTAACATCAACAACCAACAAAACTGGAACCCTAATTCCCATACAAAAGAAGAAGAGAGGCTCTTACTTTCAAAGTATCAGAAGCTTTCTTGAGTTCAATCTCGAGCTCCATCATCGTAGTCACTTCGCTAGCCCTAATAACAGCCGCCAGAGCACGAATAGCCGCAACAGCCTCCGCCAAATCCGGCTGCTTTCTCCAGTTGTTGAACTCCTCAATCACGCTAAAGGGTCTTTCCGAGACCGGATAATCTTGGTTGGGGTAGCGACGAACGGCTGCTTGAGCCTGTTCTAGACAGTCGCTGGTGACGATCCCATGGTGCGCCGCTCGGGTTTGGTAGTAAGCCGAAACAGGATTAAGGTTAGGGCTTTCATTGGCCATTGAAGCAGATGGTGGAGGAAGAGAGTCGATGGAGGGAGTTAGAGATATGGGTTTGTTGTTCTGATGTTTGTCGAGGATAAATGACGCCGACCGTCTCCAATTTTGTCTGAATCAATTCAAGCTAGAGAGACTTTGAGGGTTTGAGGTTTTTTTTTTTTGGCTTGTGATGACGTTTAAGTTTTAAGTAACTCGTCCTTAGAGCATCTCCAATGTAAAATTCTATTTTTTCCTCCAAAATGGAGTTAATGGAGTAAAAATACTCCAACCCCACTCCATTTTCCACTCCATAATGGAGTGATGAACAAACAAAAAACAGATTACTCCATTTATGGAGTAAACTCTATTATGGAGTAGAATATGGAGTAGGGTTGGAGTGTTTTCTACTCCATATTCCCTTTTACTCCATTTTAGAGTAAAAAATGGAGTTGGGCTGGAGATGCCCTTAGAGCATCTCCAATGTAAAACTCTATTTTTTCCTCCAAAATGGAGTTAATGGAGTAAAAATGCTCCAACCCCACTCCATTTTCCACTCCATAATGGAGTGATGAACAAACAAAAAACAGATTACTCCATTTATGGAGTAAACTCTATTATGGAGTAGAATATGGAGTAGGGTTGGAGTGTTTTCTACTCCATATTCCCTTTTACTCCATTTTAGAGTAAAAAATGGAGTTGGGTTGGAGATGCCCTTAGAGCATCTCCAATGTAAAACTCCATTTTTTCCTCCAAAATGGAGTTAAAGAGAATATGGAGTAAAATGCTCCAACCCCACTCTATTTTCCACTCTATAATGGAGTGATGAACAAACAAAAAACAGATTACTCCATTTATGGAGTAAACTCTATTATGAAGTAGAAGATGGAGTAGGATTGGAATGTTTTCTACTCCATATTCCCTTTACTCCATTTTAGAGTAAAAAATGGAGTTGGGTTGGAGATGCCCTAAAACAGAGCCTTTAAAACATGAACTAGATTTTGAACCCGCACATCTGTGCGGATAATTTTTCATTTATTAAATGTAAAAATTTAATATAAGTTAATAATTTTATTTCTGTAAAATTTATTACATAATTTACAAATGTTTAATTTTTGTAAAGGTTATAATATTTTAGTCACTTAAATGGTGAATGATATTTTATTTAATTATTTAAATATATTAGTTTGCCGATTTAATATAATTATTATATGTAATTCATTTATTGTTTTTATTTTAATATAATATAGACTATAGTTATAAAATTTATAAATTAGTATATAGTATATTATATTTTGTTTATAAAAAGTTTTAATTGATATTTATGTATAATAATATTATACTACTAATTATGAAATTAATTAGTGCATTAATTAAAAAACTATTTAAATTTTTTAAAAGATAATGTTAGATTTTTTCTCAACAGATTTTGAGATTACTAAATCTAAAATATTAATATCTTTATAATTATTTAGAAATGTTTACATTAAATAAACTAATGTAAATAATCAAAACGATAGATGGACCTAGTATAACTATTCAATAGTAGATAAAAATGGTACTTCTCTTTTAATAGAGAAGATTTTTAAAAACGTATATCTTGTGCCCCTGAATATTTGTGTATTCTCATTTGATCGTTTTGGAGTGCGCTTTTGGTTTAGATAAACCTTTTCTAGTTTTGGAGTTTCTGAATTCATAGTTTTAGGTCTCATTTGGATTTTAGATATATATATATAGATATATGTTCGGATCAAGTTCAATTAATAGTATTCTGAGTTCAATCGTCAAATTCATTTTTTTTACATCAGAAGGATGATCTAAAACTCAAGTTTGGAGTAGTCTGGGAAGTTAAACCGGAATAGAACAACCAACATATAAAAGATCTCGATAAAAGGATCGAGCCGATTTAGCTAAAGAATCAGAAACGACATTCTATGTCCTAGGAACATAGAAAATCTTGAAATCAGGGAAGCAGATCAGCAGCGCCATAAGTTTTTCCGATTCCATTGAGAATCTTGGCCAGTCCTGAGGGTTTCTAAGCATCGCTATCATCTCCTTGAAATCCATCCCAAAGCTCTGACATGGCGAATGTTGAAGCATATTCTCCATTGTCCAACGCAGTGCTTCAAGCTCAGAGTGCAAAGCAGACTGCACCCTACTAAGATTACGCATGTTTATTAGCTGACTATTCCTCATACTATCGTTCCAAACCCAACCACATCCACTGAACCGAGCTGTAGAGGTTCAAGAACCGTCTACCATACAAATGTCTCCCAGACTTATGGCTTGGCTTTCAACATTTATGGCTCATTGAGATGGTGAAACAATTTGTTCATTTGCTTGGTACCAGGCTTGACATTCACTTTCTACATAGCAGGCTAACTCCAAAGGATCTCTATCAATTCCTCTGAACAACTTGTCGTTTCGAGCCTTCTAGATATACCATATTAGCCAGAGATAAGGATCCCTGTCTAATCCTGGTTCTATTATGACATTTTTCCTCCAGAAGAGATAGTTCATATTCGTGTATGTGCTTTGAAGTGGGAACAAAGTAGGGCTTGTAGGCGTTGATGATAAGGCCCAAACTTGTATCGCCGGTGGACACTGAAAAATTGCATGTGTAACTGATTCTTCTGGTTCTCCATATCGTGGACAGTAATTATCACATCTCATATGTCTATGGTTCAAAGTACTTGTAACAGCCACATGACCTGTTATTATTTGCCACATAAGATGACACATCTTTTGGGGTGCCTTGACCTTCCAAGCATGTATTTGGAGTTTTGTGATACTGGGTTCACAAACTACAGCTTCCTCCTCCTTCCTCAATATGTTCCGTGCAACCCAATATCCCGATTTGACTGTAGACTGTCCATTTCTTGTATATCTCCAGCAGTACGTGTCCCTGCGATGTGTTGAACTAATGGCCATACTCCTTATGAGAGGTATGTCAGCAGCAGCTACATAGTTCTCTAGCTGATCCACATCCCAAGACTTTGTTCCTTGATTGATAAGGTCACTCACTCTCATGTTCGGGTGTAAAACTGACGCATATGAGGATGCTGGTCTTGCATGAAGGGTAGGAATCCATGGATCCTCCCAAACTTTCACCTCATAACCCGAATGTATCTTCTGTTTAACTCCCAACAGTAGTAATTCTCGTGCCGCCAGTATACTTGTCCACATATACGATGGGAACTGACAATAAGGTGACACAAAGGTGAGCTCAGTCGATAGTACCGGCCTTTCAAGACTCGAGCTACCAAAGAATCTGGGTATTGAACCAATCTCCATAAATGCTTCGCTAACAATGCCAGGTTAAACTCATGAATCATCATAAACCCAATCCCTCCTTCCTCTTTAGATAAGCATAATTTATCCCATGTTGACCAGTGAATGCCTCTTTTTGGGGGGTCCGAACTCCACCAGAACTGTGAAATGGCACTAGCTAAAGCATCACATATCTCCAGCGGAAGTAGGAAGCAAGACATTACATACGTTGGGAGTGCTAGCAGGATCAACTTAATCATAACTTCCTTGCCACCTTTCGATAACCACCGACCCGTCCATCTATTTACTCTATTCATTAGCTTATCCTTTAAGAAGACAAAAAGCTTGCATTTAGATCCTCTGATATCCTTTGAAATTCCTAAGTATATTCCCTTCCCTCCTTCATTATGAATCCCAAGTGTTTCTTTAATCTCTTGCCTTACAACTTGTCCGATTCTCTTACCAAAGAGTAGAGATAATTAATCAAAATTTATGCACTGTCCTGAAGCTTGTCCATATTTCCTGACCACTTTCATTACTCTTTTCACATTCACGGGGCTCTGCCTTACAAAAGAACATGCTATCATCAGCAAAGAGAAGGTGAGACACCGAAGGGAACACACGTGTAATGCGCATCCCCGTTATCTTCCCTTGATTCTCCGCGTGATTTAGAAGGCTAATGAGCGCTTCCGTGCATAGAATAAATATGAAAGGGGACAGAGGATCCCCCTGCCACAGTCCTCTCTCCGGGACAATATTCCCTCTTGTATGGCCATTCATAAGGACCTTATACTTAACTGATGTTACACATCGCATTATCCAGCTTATCCAGATTTCTGAAAAACTTATCTTTCTTATGGTAGCCTCAATGAAAGACCACTCCATTCTATCATATGCCTTTCTCATGTCTGTTTTAATGGTCATCCTCTTTGTGCGTCCACTAGGTTTGGTTCTTAAGACATGGAACATTTCCTGGACAATCATGATATTCTCAGAAATATGTCTCCTAGCAACAAATGCTGACTGGGATTCTGAGATCTTATCTGGTAGAACCTTTTTTAGCCTCTGGCATAAGACCTTAGAGATTATCTTGTAACTGACATTACATAAGCTGATGGGGCGTAGCTGACTCATCTGATTAGGCTTATCTACTTTCGGAATGAGACATATGTTAGTATCATTTAAGCCAGAAGGAAAAGTGCCTTCAAACATGAATTGGTTAACCATACGAGTTAAATCATCCTTTACAATATCGCAAAATTTCTGATAGAAAAGCGCAGTCCTTCCATCTGGCCCTAGGACCTTTTTTGGATGCATTGCAAAGAGGGCCAGTTTAACTTCCCATTCAGTGACCGGGGCTGTGAGATTATCATTGTCTATCGATGTGATGGTTGTAGAGACCTCAGAAAGTGCTTCCCTATAGCCTCCGGGTTTGATGATTGGGAAAATATTCCTATAATAGTTCGTAGCAATGGCCACAAGTCCTTCCTCATCATGAACAACATTCCCATCCCCATCTAGTAATTGTGTAATCATGTTCCTTGCTCTTCTCTGTTTTGTAAGGGCGTGAAAAAATTTTGTATTCCTATCACCTTCTCTTAGCCAAAAAATCCTACACTTCTGCTTCCACAACAACTCTTCCGCCTTAAGATTGTCAGACAGTTCTTTTAGAGCTGCCGCAATCTCTTCAGCAGTGCCATCGTCATTTGATGATAGCTTATCGACCTTTTCTTTTAACTCCTCCACACTCCTCTCAGAATTCAGGTTATGCTGTCTCTTCCAGTCACTTAAAGCCCGCCGGCAACTTGTAATATGTTCCATAATGCTTGCACCTGGTGGCAGGTCTGGTGCTTTCCACCCCTCAAGTATAATTTGTCTGAGCTCCTCATAGTCCAGTTATCTCTTATCAAATTTGAAATTTTTTGATCTCCTCGGTTTCTTTTTTAGGATGTCAGCTAGGATCAGACGATGATCCGATCCCCAGAGCCTCATATACTGCACCTTTGAATGAGGGAATTTTTTATGCCAGTCCTCATTCCCAACAGCTCTATCAAGTCGGCATCTAACCGTAACTCTCCCTAATCTTTTGTCTGTCCAGGAAAGCATATTTCCTGTAAAAGGAAAATCCAGCATACCACAATCACTTAACATTTGTTTGAAAGGTAAGAATGAGCTGTCTGTACGTTGTCTGCCTCCTTCTTTTTCCTCATGGCAGGTAATTTCATTAAAGTCACCAATCATGGACCAGGGTCCATTTCTTGTTGTTGAGAAACGCGTAAGACGTTCCCATACTAAATCTCTTTGTTCTAAAACAGGATCCCTATAAACAAACGTCATGTAAACTTTTATTCCATCAATGACTGCCCTAATGTCAATCATTCGGTTATTTGAAAAAAGAACATTAACTTGAAATTCATCCATAAAAAACAAAGCTAAACCTCCGCTGAGACCAAGTGGCTCAACGGTAAACAAACGATCAAATCCTAAGTCGGCCTGAATGTCTTGCAACAACAGCCTCCTATTCTTCGTCTCAGAAAGAAACACAAGTCCTGGGCGATGTTTCTGACACATCTCCGTAAGGCGTCGAACTGTGAGGTTGTTTACAATCCCTCGACAGTTCCAACTAATTGTCTTCATAGATGATGCTTGGATGAGTTATTGGAACCCATCGAACCATCATCGTTGTGCGAGCTCCCTTGTATCTTCTTAGAAATTTGATGAGAAAAGGCGTGCCTTGTCCTTCCCTCTGGTTGTCTTATGAGACGAGGTTTTAGCTACCCTCAAACGAGGGGATCCTCGACGGAGGACACCCGGTTAAGTAATTGATTACCCGAAGGAGAAATCATACGGCTTAAACTCCGTGAGCTTCTTTGTCTCTTAATTGCCGGTTTACTCTTCGTTCCATCCTCCAACCCAACATTAGGCACTTCGTGCATGTCCAGTAGCTCCTCACTCAATAGATCCTCATCCTCATCGTTATATTCCTCCTGAGCCATCACGATATCATTTTCCTCCGTTGTCTCCATGTAGAGAGAGCTCCAGTGACCTGTTCTTCTTCGCTTACAACCTCATCTCTTGGTGCGAAAGACAGGGAACAATTGACGCTCTTGCTGTGTATTGTCACATTGGTTTCCATAGATGCTGTCCGAAGAGGTGGTGAAACAATACACTAGAAATTATTTTCCTTTGAAGTTCAGCGCCATCAATGTCCACCCCATCTTCTGGATGAACATGATCGTTAATGTGAGGACAAATTGAGTTACTAGGAGGGAGTTCAAATGGAGCTGAGCTCCAGCCTTAGCTTGTATCTCTGAAGCTTTATCATTAGACCTTCCAAGCTCCCTCGACTTAGCTGATGACTTCTCACACCATGTCTGCTTAGACTTTCGGTCATAGGGACCAAAAGTATGACGCAAGCCACGATAGTGATCATCTTGATGCTTCTCAGTCCTCGCCCTGGTGATGCGGTCTAAGCTTCTGTTATAACCTTGATCTCCCATACGCATGTGTAAAGAATTATTAGCAGCATTCCATCTTGTGTTCTCATTACCATGATCACACGTATTACCCTTAACAGTTTGTATTGCTGGACGTGACGAGTGCTGAGAATCATGACGACCATTACGTTCATTGCGCCGCTCATATCTATTGTTATCAATCAGCGAAAGCTGATCTCGTGCATTAGGAGGTTGAACCCGCGCAAAGACGCCACCTCTTTCTGGCTCATGTCTTGGGACAGAGGTGGTAGTTGGAAAATATCTTTTCTCATGTGACATTAATCCACATATAGTGCAGTGTTTGAATAACATGTCATACTTGATATCTATGGTAACTTCCTCTCCTTCCGGACCGTGCACCTTTCTCTTGAACTTCATTGGTCTCCTGGAATCAATATGAATGAGCATTCGACCCTCCGTGAGCTCTAATGTGTCCGCGTAACCTAATCGCCCTCCAATATCTCTTAAGTTGCGATAAGTCCAAAGGTGAAGGGGCATACAAGATATCTGAACCCAAAATAATCCAGGGATAATCATCATGTACTATTGGATCTCATCGAACATGCAATAATTATAGTGAAAAGGGCCTTTGCGAAGTACAAAGTTTAGATCCTCTTCTGTGGTAAAGTTTATAAGAAACTTGCCATTTCCCAAGTCGTTTGCTGTAATCTTATCTTCCATTCCCCACTGAGCCGGCATCGTCTGTATTAACTTCTCGACAGCTTCTTTTTGTGATTTAGGATCTTACCAATAAGATACATACGGTACTCTTTAATCACAAAAGCATTGTCCTGTTCCGTTCATATGGACATAGTTCAAACGATGAAGAGACCCCATACAAAGGTATCGGGTTTAGAGACCGCACCAAACCGTTGACAAACCCGGTCAACCAAGGGGTTCGATTCAGTCGTGAGTATGAGGTATTGTTTAGAGCCAGAAGCCTTGATAAATAACCGTAATATGATATAATTCTATCCCAACAAAGATCGGACGAAACAAACGACAGAGATCGGACGAGATGTGATATATGCGTGCCTCATAGGAACCAAGGAAGAAGACAGATGATTCTTCAACCAAAACAATAGATGACAAAGATCGCTCTGCTACGTGGGAGTAGACGGTCTCCAATGAGAGAGCCGATCAGATCTGAAGAATCAAGCTGTAAGTCACCGTCGCCATTCGATCGCCTCCAGAGCTGCTAATCGTCAAATTCATTTTGAATTCGGTTAATAATAGTTTAAATTCATAATCAAAATAAATATAAAATTGATTATTTGAAATAGTTATTTAAGTTTTAAAGACTTATTTATATACTAATTCAGATATTGCATAATTGTTTTAGTCATTTAGGCTATTCAGATCTTTTAGTTGCTCTGGGTAATACTTTTTGTTTGGACATATTTTATACCATTTTACATGATGTGTTTGAGTAGAAATGGAAATCACGGATTTAGACCGCGAATCTAACCCGTAAAGTATTATAACGGAATGGTATTGGGACAAATTTTTAGGTCTGTAAATTTGCAATCTCGCGAGATGGGTCTTTGCGGGACTGGAGCTTTTGCAGGATGAGCGAAACGAGTCATGCGGGATTACAAAGACCCGCATGTTTTTTCATTTCTTGTTTTATGTGAAGAATGGAGGAGAGTGAGAAGAAGATGATTTATGTCACTCCCTCCGAGAAAACGTAAAGAGCTCCAACGATGATGATTCGAGCTTCATTGATGATGATTTGAACTACGGCGAAGACGACTCCAGCTCCGGTGATGACGACTTCAGGCAATGATGATTCGAATTTTGATGGTCTTTTGATTTGGTTTTCTTTTTTATTTAATTTTGGATTGAGAGATTTGATTTGGTGTTTGATTTTATTTAATTTTTGGATTCAATAAACTAATACATTAGTTATGAACTTAATAAGATAGTGAAAAATATATTCTGCAATTATCTTTACTTTAATATGTTTTGGATGTGACAAAAATAACTATAACTATTGTTTTGAATAAAAATAAACAAATCAATGACCGATAAATTATATCCAGATGAATCGACGACTTGAATTATGTTCCAAAGTGGGCTGAAGCGTTTTGGAGTGGGCTAAAGCGTTTTTCTGTGGTTATTATCACATGTCTCACGAACCTATCTGCAAAGGCTTAAACATATAGTGGGACAGATTTGGATAACTATTCTGGAGAACGCAGTCCGTGCATATCTAACCCGCTGTGATCCATTTAAAAATAATTTTACAGCGGTCTGGGATGGGATGGGACAAGACAACCTGTTTGCCATCTTTATGTTTGAGTATTTTTTTTTACAACTAAGATCATATATGGATTCAGATTCTGTTTGCATCTTGTATTTTCTGAGGCCGAACTTTGGATTTATGTTTGTAAAGACGTTTTAACTCAGAATATTTGTGTATTTTCATTTAGAGTACTAAGTTTACCAATAATTCAATAAATCAATTTCACCCCAAAATTCAAATCATAATTTACATTTCAGAAGACTGTAAGCTATAACAATACCCATTATGAAAGAATGATCTACTTGGGGCTCCACCACCATTGTCAAAATATCTTCTCCAAATTCTAAACCGCTGATATCAGATTGTTTCTTGTTAACTTCTGCCATTAATCTTCCTGATCCATCTTCGATTGTGAAAACCAATCCACGACTTACAATCTTATAACAAGATTGCACATCATCTTTACTGGATCCCATTATAACTTTGTAAGACGAAGATGAACTTCTTGGCGAAATCTTGAAGTTCTTTCGTAGTGTAAATCTTGTCCCGGTTGAGTTGTCTCCTTTGCAAGATTTAAATAGTCCCACCGTTTGTTGAAATTTAAACAAGACTTCTCCGTATAAGTCCATAAGGTATACTTCACTGCAACTCTTGGAATCATAGTTATCCACTCGGTAGATTAAGTTTCCGTTGGAATCAAAAACTGTACAGCCTTTGCTATGGAACACCAGAGATCTCATCCAAATCGTGAAACTCTTTTTCTCCGTCGTCAAGTACGTCGAAGTCTTGCCTTCTCCGGTGCTTGCTTCCACCGGTGATGATTGGATAGGATGAATCTTCATCATGTTCTTCGCTGGTCAAACACAAATACGGTCGTTGCTTTTATATTTGGGACTGATTGATGATTAGTAGTACATTTCCTCTTCGTATTTATACTTTCTACTTATTTGTAATAATTCAGCCTCTAGTTATGATAAAAAAGGATATGCAAGGTCTTACACCACATGTTCAATGTGAAAATACGAACATTAATATTGATAAATAACAATTTAACGACGAATACTCTTTTAAATTTTATAGATACACGTATTCATACATGTAGGGGTCGTTGTAACGTGGACAATGTGAGATTCGAATAATAGAGTCATCGACATATAATACAAATAATTTAGTTTCAATTATTATTCCTTGCTGAAAGGTTCTTGGAATGGTACTGCAGAAGAACAGTTTAGCACACTGAATTCTTCAAAACTGTTCTTTATTAATAATAATAAATTTAAATCTTTATTCACATATGAAAACTTAATAAAATTATCAGCTGTCACAGAAACGTTTTCAGAAAGACGCAAAATTTGTTTCTTATTGTCAATTAGATCACATATGAAATTGTTTCTTATTGCCATTTATTAAATTCGTACTTCTCCCTAGAGTCCATGGATACTCTATGGCACTACTCTAATTATATACTATACTATTATCTCCTGCACCAGTTACATTTGCTAAATTACCAACCATATATACATTTAATTCAGTTTGATGTATCCGATAGTTCCATGCTTGGTCTAAAACTATAGCCAGCTCTATATTGTGATGACGCGTCTATATATGTAGTTACGGTCAGGCTCATTGTTAAATTGGGCCTAGTGCAATTTTTTTTTCCAGTAAGCAATATTTGTTATGAAAATATGGGAAATGGTTGTGTTATTTCATAAACATAAGTTGTCTTTATATAGGGAGTTACAAGATCATAAAAAAGTAGAAAAACCTAAACCAATTAAGAAAATGAAATAGTACAAATCATAATCCAACATGGAATAGAAAAACACCAAATCGTATTTCAATAAGGATAAGAAACTACTCGTAGACCATAAGGCTTATTGGGCCGGTACGGTTCCAGTCGGGCCAGTAGGGTCGGTTATCACAATCCACCATTTGGTTCATAACACTCCCCTTAGATGTCATAACCATGTAATACACTTTGGATGTTGACTCATTAAAACCTTTCCAGGCAAAACTCAAAATCCAAAGGGATAAAATCGAGTAAAACCATGGATAAGGAAAAAGAGTACAACACGTATTACTCCCCCTGTTTTGTACCTCACTGAAGATCTTTAAGCCGACGCATCCCAATCTGATGCGTGCGCTTCTTGAACGTTGAGGTTGGAAGTGACTTGGTGAATAGGTCTGCCGAATTGTCACTTGAACGGATTTGTAATACTTGGACCTCAACGGCTTTCTGAAAATCGTGTGTGAAGAAGAACTTTGGCAAGATGTACTTCGTCCTATCTCCTTTGATGTAACCGTCCTTAAGCTGAGCTATGCATGCGGCATTGTCCTCATACATGATGGTTGGTGCCTCCTTCTCTTCAGCAATCCCACAATCAACTCTAATATGTTGGGTCATGGACCTCAACCAAACAACTTCACGGCTGGCCTCATGGATGGCCAATATCTCGGCATGATTGGACGATGTGGCTGCAATTGTTAGCTTCATGGATTGTCAAGATATAGCAGTACCACCATGGGTAAAAACTAAGCTTGTCTGAGATCGAGCACACATTTGTGTGGATTCGAGTTAAAACCTGCATCAGCAAAACCAATTAACCCATTTGTGTTGGTTAGTATAAAATAGATCCAACTCTTTTGTTCGTTGTAGATAACAAAGTACATATTTAATCCCGTTCCAGTGCCTTTGGATCGTCCATTAGCTAAACATAGACAATAGGTTCACAGTAAAACATATGTCCAGCCTAGTGTGGCTTGATAGGTACATTAAGGCTCCTATGGCACTAAGGTATGGCACTTCAAGCCCAAGGACTCTTCATCGGCCTTCTTAGGACCAAACGGATGTTTTTCCAAATCAAGGGACCTCACGACCATGGGGTTAGACAATGGGTGATATTGGTACATATTAAATGGTTTAAGTACCTTTTTTTTGTATATGCCATTTGATGCACAAGGATTCCACCCTTAAGGTGTTCAATCTGTAATCCCAAACAAAATTTCGTTTTGCCCAAATCTTTCATCTCAAACTCTTTCTTAAGGTATTCAACCGTTTGAGAAATTTCTCCAGAGGTTCCTAGGATATTCAGGTCATCAACATACACTGATATTATTACAAAGCTCTGGTCGAATTTCTTTATGAATATGCATGTGCTTATTGGATCATTCTTATAACCCTCTTCACTAAGTACTCGCTTAGTCTATTGTACCACATTCGACCTGATTGTTTCAATCTATAAAGTGATTTTTTCAAATTTATACAGTGTTGTTCTCGAGAACTTGCTTTGTTTTTCAGCTCAATACCCTCTGGTACTTTCATGTATATCTCATTATCCAGTGGACCATATAAGTATGCAATTACTACATCCATTAACCGCAGGTCTAAGTTCTCTCTTTTGGCAAGACTTATTAGGAATCTAAAAGTAGTAGCATCCACCACAGGGGAGTATGTCTCCTCATAATATATTCCTTGTCTATGTGAGAATCCTTGTGCAACCAGTCGTGCATTATATCTCACGACTTCACCATGTTCATTCCTTTTCCTCACAAAGACCCATTTATGTCCAACTGGTTTAACATCAAGAGGTGTCCGAATTATTGGACCAAAGAACTCTATTTTCTTTAATGAATTTAACTCCACGTTTATAGCTTCTTTCCATTTGACCCAATCTTATCGTTGAGTGCACTCATAAATAGACGTGGGTTTATGATCCTCATTCATGTCCATAATTTCAAATGCTACGTTGCATGTAAATATATCATCAATGTTGAAATTCTTTTTTTTTCATAGTATTCCAGACATAACATAATTTATTGAGATCTCATTATTATAAGGACCATCAGTACCATGAAGTTTGGCGTCCCAAACCTCATTATTTGGTACACTAGGTTTGACCCGCCCATTAGGTTAGGCCAGTTTTGCCGGTTCGTCCATGTCTAGGGTTCCCTCGACCACGGGTTCGTTAGCACCTTTCTTTAGTTTCCGAGGGTTCTTATCTTTGGAGCCTATTGGTCTACCACGTTTCAAACATGCTCTAGAGTCTATAGCAACTTGACCGTGTCTTTCTTGGACATCAATACGAATTGGTGCATTCACAGCTGGTATGTATGACTTTGTTACTCTATTCGGGTCAGCAAAAAAATCTGGCAATTGATTAGCTATAGCTTTTGTAAGTGTATTATCTTTTGTACTTCTAAATCACACTCTTGAGTCTGAGGATCTTGTTAGGACAAAGATGGTTGAGACCATGAAATTTATTTTACTTTTACCAGCTTATTATTATCTCCCCTAATGTTGGATAGTTGGATTCATCAAAATGACAATCTGCGTACCTGGCCTTAAACAAATAACCCGTGGTTGGCTCAAGGTATTTAATTATTGTGGGAGATTCATATCCAACATATATCCCCATCCTCCTTTGAGGTCCCATCTTAGTTCTCTGTGGTGGAGCTATTGGTACATAGGTAGCACATCCAAATGTCTTAAGATGGGATACGTCTGGCTCTTGACCTGTAAGCAATTGGGACGGGAATATCTATGCTCACTAGATGGCCTGATTCGAATTAATTCAGCTGCATGTAAAACTGCATGTCCCCAAGCTGAGACCAAGAGTTTTGATCTCATAAGTAATGATCTAGCAATTAGTTGTATACGTTTAATGAAGGATTTGTCCAAGCTGTTTTGTGTATGTACATGTGCCACATAATGTTCTACGCTTACCCCTATGGATATACAATAGTCATTAAACGCTTGGGACGTGAATTCACCAGCATTATCAAGATGTATAGTCTTTAAAGGAAAATCTGGAAAGTGAGCTCTTAAATGAATCATTTGAGCAAGTAACCTCACAAACGCCAAGTTGCGGGTTGATAATAGACATACATGTGACCATCTTGTGGATGCATAAATAAGAACCATAAAGTATCTAAACGTCCTACAGGGTGGGTGTATTAGTCCACATATGTCACCTTGTATACTTTCCAGAAAGTTTATTGTTTCCTAAGTCACTTTAATTGGTGATGGCCTAACAATGAGTTTCCCTTGTGAACATGATACACACGTGAGGTGCTTAGGGATAAATCTTCTTTCTTCCAATGTGTGCCCATTTTTTATTAGATATCAATTTTTGCTTCATGATCGAACTGGGGTGACCCAACCGGTCGCGCTAAAGAGTGAAGTTCTCGGTAAAGACTTTGTTTACCGTGGCAATATCCTCTATTATACTGGTCTTGGCATAGTACCTTAGATACTTCATATTTAAAAATCATTCATTCGTTAAGTTTAAGTCGACAAAGAAATAAAAAAATTCAAAGAGCAAAGAAAACATAAAGTAAAGAATTACAAAAGTTTGATGGTCGAAATCAACTTGATTCTTTTAAGCAATCTGAAATTTCATACTCCATATGATCATCTCGTCCATGATCAACATCATCTTTTCATTATCTTGATAGATCAAGTGGGCCTCAGGATTATTCCCTTTCAAGCTTTCTTGATAAAGTTCAACTAGATGTTTGGGAGTTCTACATGTCTTAGCCCAATAGTTACTCATTCTACACCTATGGCACACTGATTTGGTAGAGTGTTGTGGTTTAAAGGAGATACCACGGCCATGTCCTCGGCCTCGACCACGGCCAGAATATGCACGGTCTGACATAATAGCTCCCGCGGCCATAAGAGGTTCATTGGCCACGGTCTCGACCATTGTAGCGGCCACGGCCACGTCCTTGCCATTTTCCACAGCCACAGACGTGTTGGCTATTATTCTGGACGTGGTTAGTTTTTTTCTTTTCCTCTACGGACACTGATATACCATGATTTTGACTCATTTAAGTCATGGTATATTTGGTGTTTTGACTACTATTTATTATATTATAGAAGCTTTTAAGCATATTTCTGAGTTCGGGAGTATTTTGGAAGAAA